GAAGAAGCTTTGAAGAAAGCAAAAGCCATGTTTGAAATGGAAAATCAACAACCGAGTGCTGCCTCTTCAAATTGTAAACCGTCTTCCATGACAGGATTCAAGACTGCAAGTGGCAAAGATGTCAATATCTCAGAAGAAGCTCTGAAGAAAGCAAAAGCCATGTTTGAAATGGAAAATCAACAACCGAGTGCTGCCTCTTCAAATTGTAAACCGTCTTCCATGACAGGATTCAAGACTGCAAGTGGCAAAGATGTCAATATCTCAGAAGAAGCTCTGAAGAAAGCAAAAGCCATGTTTGAAATGGAAAATCAACAACCGAGTGCTGCCTCTACGAATTGTACTTCGTTTTCCACCTCAGGATTCAAGACTGCAAGTGGCAAAGATGTCAACATCTCAGAAGAAGCTTTAAAGAAAGCAAAAGCCATGTTTGAAATGGAAAATCAACAACCAAGTGCTGCCTCTACAGATTGTACTTCGTCTTCCATGACAGGGTTCAAGACTGCAAGTGGCAAAGATGTCAATATCTCTGAAGAAGCTCTAAAAAAAGCAAAAGCTATGTTTGAAATGGAAAACAAACAATCAAGTACTGTCTCTGCGAATTGTAAACCGTCTTCCACGTCGGGATTCAAGACTGCAAGTGACAAGGATGTCCTGACTATCTCTGAAGAAGCTATGAAGAAAGCAAAAGCCATGTTTGAAATGGAAAATCAACAACCAAGTGCTGCCTCTACAGATTGTAAACCGTTTTCCATGACAGGATTCAAGACTGCAAGTGGCAAAGATGTCAATATCTCTGAAGAAGCTTTGAAGAAAGCGAAAGACATGTTTGAAATGGAAAATCAAGAATTTAGTGCTGGCTCTGTGAGTTGCACATCGTCTTCCATGACGGGATTGAAAACAGCAAGTGGTAAAGATGTCAGTTTCTCAGAAGAAGCCTTGAAAAAAGCAAAAGCTATGTTTGATACAGACAATCAAGAGCTTAAGCACACGTCAACTAAACTTTCAAAAACTGTTTGCGCAGAGAAAAACACTTGTGTAAAAGGGGCATACCAGACATTAACTGACGTRAAGCAAGATCAGGAAGTCCCTTCAGAAAGCAAAGCAAAGTTACTAAATTCAAGCTGTCAAAAAGCACCAATACATGTTGAGAACACCAAAACGCCCTCTAATTCCCCAGCTACAGAMATAGACGACCATTTAACAAGAGAGATTTTAGAAAGTTCTGCTGCGCTACTTGCAGATGAGTCATTTACTGACCTTACCGATTGCCTTGGTCACGAAGAGAAAACAATTCCTGTACCAGTCAGAATTCCAGAGAAAGTAGAGCGTAGTTCTGGTGRTAAGGTTATGAGAACTCCATGTCACTCAGAACCATATCTAAAGAGTAAGTCTTCAATGTGCAGCGACGCCATTATCTATAACAAAGCGTGATGGGAGGTGTAGTTCGCTAAAATATTCTTCCAAAGATGATTTTGATTTCTCTTACAAAAGTTAAGTAGTTGTGCCGTTTTTTGAATTCTTAGGCACTATTTTCAGTATCGAACATAAAGTACGAAGAGTACATCTCCCATCATGCATTGTCGTACAAGATGGCGTCCCTATACATTGCCCGACGCATTGCCTATATACATTGGCTATTTTTGCTAAAGACGGGTGAATGCCCGAAACGTCCATAAAGAGTAGAAAACCAAGCTACATTGCCTATTTTCTTAATGTTTAATATTTTAAAGTATTAAAATAGGTTAGGTTCCTAATGTTGTGGATTTCTTTCAGGAGAAGCACTAATGTCCAATGCAAGAAAGCGTTATAAATCAGTTAGTATTGACTTTAGCAATATGTACCAACTATGATCGTTTACAAGCTYCTGGTTTTGTTTTACAATATCTATCTCACGACTTATTGGATTTATTTTGTTTTTGTTTATTTCATTGTTCGGGTTTTGTTCTATATTTAGTTTTTAATGGATGAAGAATTGGCGAACTCACCTTCCATAATTTCAAGAACATCTCTKAAACCATCCAAACCATCCCCTTCRTGTAAGTTCAGTATTTCCWTGTAAATGCGCAATTACATTTCAATTTGTCAAAACACATTATTAGTGATGGTCTGAAGTTTATAACAACTAATTTTGTTTGGAATCTATAGCAGTTCTGTTTGACCGTCGATCAAAGAATTCATTGGCGCCCGCAGTTGTTGGACCCAACATGTCTACTCCTTTATCGAGGTAAGAACACAAATAAAATATTTCATGTTGAATATAAGCATTTTTCCTAAGCTAATACTCAATCACCAACCTAAAGTAAAATAAAAGACAGACATATAAAAAAAAGGAAAAAACAAATAAACAAACAAATAAACAAAGAGAAATACTGAGAAATGAAAGAAATTGGAACTGTCTTTTTTATTTGGAAAAATGCCGCATCGACGCTCCTGATTGTACATCGAAAGCTGATCTCGGTGATGATGATGATGATGATGATGGCGATGATGATGATGATGATGTCCTGTTTTGTTTATAGGTTATTAAAGTTGTGTATTGATGTAATAATACACTAAATACGGACGTCATTTCTATTTTCATTCATAAAGGATTCCCTCGTCAAGTATAAGAAACAGGCAACAATTTACCAGACAAGCTAGTYCTTYACATSCACGAGTATCCTCTCCATCACTACCTTCACCACTAGCCACAAATAACAAASAAACACAGAGATCGTCTCCAAGTATTGGGCCGTCATCCAAAAAGCAATTTACRACACCCTTTAGATCACCCAGTGGTAGTGTACCCAATACAAATCTCAGAGAGACATCCGATGGATCTCCGAATAAAAAACGAGCAAGAATCAATGGTCCCGATGGCTACAAAAACGACTACCGTACAACAGAGAATGTTAAGCCTGTCATGGGCTACCTGTGGAATCAGTACCAAAGTAATAAACGACTTTCTTTGAGGCAATTTGTTGATAACACACTGCCACACAGATATACTATGAAACAGGTACGTATATTTATTTACGAGTTGAGTTGTGAACATACCGATTCAGTCAATATATATGGGGGAGGGAGATGTTTCTTACAAGAGCTGGACTCCTTCGCAGCCGTGATCACTGTCATGGCTGCAAAGGAGACTAGTGTWCGAGAAATTTCGATGGGTGGGTGATTCTCCGCAACGAGTCGWTACGAATCGTATGATATCGAATGCCTTATGAGAAAGCAAATATGAGATCTGTTAAAAAGGGAAGACATTGCAGTTAGCAGTGATTACTCAAATGAAACGACAACGCATTATTATAGACGGGCACCTTTTCTTTGTACTGATAAATATTGTTGTCTCTGCTTGATAATTTACTTTCTTTCTTTACTTAGCTTCAAGATCTTGGTGTCCATGATGACGTTATAGCRGTCACGTGTKGTAACGCAGAGTCGTTTCGTTTCATTGGATCGAACTTCTTCAGTGARGGGATTTGTTCATCTAATCAGGGCGTTAGAATGGAAGACGGAGGCTTGTTGTATATAGGACAAGATGGCAGTATTGGGCTTCAAGAAATAGAAAAGTAAAGTTCGTTGTGTCRGTTGTAGGATGGGTTGATAAGCTTATATACTCCATAGATTTCGTTTGGATTTATTCGAAATATAGCGTTATTCAACCTTCGTACAACCGGTCCTCACTTAAACTTAAACTCACTTCAATCAATTAATAATTAATAATTATTAATAGGTTAT